CAAAAGAAAAACTCCCTCATTGGTACACAATCCCCCCCCCCGCACCACCCCAAACCCCATCCCCTACCCCCAAATATAATCCACTCTGCAACTTTCATTGCATACTCCTACGATAAAAATAATGCCCTAAATATATAATATTTTGCTTCACTCATGTATTTTTTTTTCTCCTTTCCTCCACACATCAAACTCTTCCATCTCTTCCTCAGCATCAGCCCCTCTACCCCCTGCACCCTCCTTCTTGGTATATTCATATACATCTAACTGGTTATCATTCTGCTTTTACAATATTGGTTTTATACAGTATTTGTTCATCTGTGCCCGAGTTAGTTCACATGGCATAATGGTACATTCACACAATGGAATAATATGCAGCACTCAGAAGCAATGACTATGGAAAATACTATATAACATGGAAGAAGATAGAGAGAATTATGCATTGAACAATTAAAGAAGTCTTTTGCAACCAACTTGCCTAATGCAATTCCCTGATTACTTGACTACTGCTTCTATGCGAAATGCCTGCTGATTAAAGGAAAATGAAATCTTTGACAACCTCAATCTTTTCTCCATTTATCATGATGATGTTTATTGGTCTAGTGGATTTTTTTTTTTTGCCTCTTTATACTGAAGTCCAAACTACACTGAAAGCTATAGCTTTTGACCATCGGCAGCGAGTGCTTCAAGTCCTCTTCATTTTCAGCAAGGCAGGTATGTCATCTGCATATCACAAGTTGTTCACAGTTTCCTATCCTGATACCACATTCTTTGTATAGTTCAGGTCCTTGTATATATTTAACAAATCATGCAGTGATTCCCTTGGTCTTGGTCTATGGATAGGTTCTGCATGAGCAGTTATTCTTGAATTCCCATTCTTTGAAAGATTATTCATAATTTGTTAAGATTCACCATCAAATGCTTTTGCACAAGTAAACATCTTTCTGATATCTTCTGCTCTAGCCATGATCCACTTGTTAGCCACAATGTTATTTCTCACTCCATGCCCTCTTCTGAGTCTGACTTGAATTTCTGGCATTTAAATGCCATTGTACTGCTAAAAAACAGTCTTGAATTATCTTCAGAAAAATTTTATTAGTGTGTAATAGCAGTGATAATCAAACTCATTATGGTACAGTCGATTCCATCTCATAGTGATCCTGAACTGGGATGCCAAGGTTGCGAATCTTGATGGAAAGTGACCAGCCATCTTTCTCTTTCAGCTAGTGGATTTAACTGTCAATCTTTCACTTAGCAACCTGGCACTACATCATCAGTGTTAATATTTATGCTGCTGTTGTGTAAAGTCGAGTCAGAACTGACTCGTAGCTGGTCCTCCAGTGGGTTTTCAGAGATAGTAAATCACACAGGAGGAGACTGCTCATCCTTCTGCAGAAAAGTTGGTGGATTTTAACTGCCTGACTTTGAGTTGGGAGCACAGCTCCTTACAAGCAGGCCACCAGAGGCCCC